TTCGAGCTCTATCATCTCTGTTCCCTGTAGCGGGGTCTTTTGATTTGTTCCCTGCACCCGACGTCGCCGATTCTTCTTCTGCCCTTAACTCCACATTGCATAAACCTTTCCTGAAGGTCTTGATGAGTGTCTTTCTAATATCGCGACTTTTCCAACAGCAAACRAATGGATTTATAGAAGAGTTRCACAACGCGATTGTTTCGGACCAGTTATAGAAAGCATAGCTTTCAAGTGCACCGCTTCCAATTTGATGATAGATAGTAACGCAAAGAACTGGAATGTTAAAAAGGAAATAGATGGCAACAATATAAGCAATGTTCATTGCAAGCTTCGTCTGYCTTCTATATCTCGTTGAGCTCGCTTGTTGTTGTTCTTTTATCAATTTCTGGTGTCTTCGGACAATTCTTATTATACCGCAGTGGACTATAATTGAAATAAGGATACATGAGCACCAAAGTGCTAAGAGAATGCCTCTTACAATCTTRTTTATACCGGCCCATTGGAGCCCTGTCAAGAGTAAATCTATGGCCCATATTAGAACCACAAGCGCCAGAACTCTTCTTGTTGTCACTAGTTCCTTATATCGCAAATGCAATGTTAARGCGACATACCTCTCGCAGCTTATCGCACTCAGTGTCATGAAAGACACGCCATAGCACACATAAAACCCTGTCGAATACATCATTCTAACGCTGCAAGGTACAAATTGTTTTAAATTTTCGAAAAATCTGAAGGCGACGTACGATGGCTGGACTAACAACCCAACAAGGAAGTCACAAACGGCGAGACAACCGAGCAARAAAGTCGAAGGCTTGCGCAAGGAAGCRTTTCTGAAGACAACACAAGCAAGGATTGAATTGGCTGTTACCGCTACTGGCGCAAAGACCATGTTTATGATAGCGGTTACCAAGTTGCTGTTGTATCTTTGGTGTATTTTGTCGAATGCTGCTTGAGGTAGAAAAAAACATGTATCATTTCTGAGCTTTTCTTCGGAGAAAACAGCGTTGCTGAGGTTTGATGCGTTCATGGTCACAATCGAMCCAACGCGCGGTTATAAATCGAAGACAAGATGCCCAGGCCCACTATTCATGCGACAATTTATAGGCCGACGCGCGCTGTTGCTCGCAAGCTGGTTCCAAATTAATAACCATTTGCAAGTCAAAACAYTGATGAATATTTGAGCAACCATAGATTGTATTTACTTTTTAATCTTAAAACTGTCCTATTTGCAAATATCGTGTTTATGGATTCTCAGGGCTCTCGATTATCGGGAGGAAACCAAGTCGACATGCAATTTAAGTTGATACCGTTAGCCACTTAAGTTATATTAGGTATATTAATTTAGTTAAAAGACGTCCTTAAGCTATACTGGAGATTTCTGTCGAATTGCCGCGGAAAATTTGTCTAAAACTTGGGCATTATCCAGCATCATAACCTGAAAACAGCGATCAAAATTGCCTTGGAAAATTTATATATCCCATTATAACATTTTTCAATAAAGCTTTAGATTAAGTACAAGGAAAAATATCAAATTCCCTTTCGCTCTCAAAGCAGCCAAGTAAAATTTCACCAACCATATTCCCAAATAAGGAAGACATAAAWWA